AGTAGCTTGTGAGATAGGTGGTGTCATGATCTCCGTTCAACAGATGACAACCTGGAGAATTTATGCAGTTAAGTCACTTGCCTACAGTAAGCCCCCTGATTGGGGGACAAGCCAGAGGTGAAAGTATTAGAATCAGTGTCCTCTCAGCTACCCCTGACCACCCCCCATACTACAGGTTTTCCCTTCCCTGGCCTGATAGGCAGGGGTCAAGTTCAGACTGTCTGTGACAAAGCATAAAGAGGAGGACATTCTTCATTAACAATATATATGGGAAAGTGCCATTTTTTGTGTGTGTTTCTCTGTGTAAGAAATGCCATTTGGAAAGCCAGTGTGCATGTCAGTTTTTTTTTTTTTTTTTTTTCCTTCATTCTGAGAAAAAGCCTATAGAGTCTGGTGGGGGAAGGGTTTGCAGCTGGCAGGAGCTTTGGCATATGCTGTAACTAAAAAGAGAGGGAATGTGTTGGTGGGACAAGCCACCGGAGAGCTGTCTCGGTGTGCCGCGGTACTAGTAAGTGTTTTAATTGGGTAGGGTTTTTGGAGGACTATTTTGACATCTGCTCGTGTCTTTGCTGATTTTTCTTCACTTAGAGTAGGAAACACAAGCTGTGGATAAAATGACTTTAAAATAATTGGAAGTAAAGATATCTCTCTCAAAGTCGAATTTGAGAGGGACACTTTTTAAGAAGTGGAAACTAAATTCCACTTCTAGGAATGCATCCTAAAGCACAAAGCTTCATGCCTATAGATTTCATGGCAATATTATATACAGTAATTTCTTCAAAACTGGAAAGAACATCCTACAAAAGGGGCTCGGCTGAGTTTGTTTCCATGTAGTAGGACACTCGCAATTAGTAATGAGTTACACAAAGTTTTTAATGAAGTGGATCACTGCTTAGAATCAGTGAGAAAATCAGGAGCATTAAGAATTATTTCAGCTTTGCCTTAACATGAAGGAAGGGGAGAATATGAAAGGAAGTCGACAAAAACATTGTCTTCAAATGTAGGGACTGGGACTGGAGTAACTGCAGTTTTTGTTTTTAAATTTTTCTGCTTTTCCCTTTTTTTTTTTTTTTTTTTTTTTTTTTGAGATGGAGTTTCACTCTTGTCACCTAGGCTGGAATGCAATGGCCCAAACTCAGCTCACTGCAACCTCCGCCTCCCAAGTTCAAGCAATTCTCCTGTCTCAGCCTCCTGAGTAGCTGGGATTACAGGTGCCTGCCACCATGCCCGGCTAATTTTCTGTATTTTTAGTAGAGACAGGTTTTGGCCACGTTGGCCAGGCTGGTCTTGAACTCCTGACTTCAGGTGATCCACCCACCTCAGCCTCCCAAAGTACTGAGATTACAGGCGTGAGCCACCACACCTGGCCTTTTCCGATTTTTTTAAAGTAGGCATCTATAATTTTTATGAAACAAATGGAAAGTAGTAGTTTATGTAAGAGAAAGTAGGCCCTGAGCACATTCATACAACTGTGCATCCTAACAGACAGATACTAATTCTGAAATCTGAGCGATTGGATTAGGGCTTTCTTCAGAAGAAAGTCAGCTTTGGGGTCAGATTCATTCAGAAGTTGACTCTGCTGCTCCCTGGCTCTGACTTTGGGCAGCTTGTTTGACCTCTCTGAGCCTCCACTTCGTTCTCACACAGAGATGCTAGTATCCCTGACAGCATGTTTAAGATGAGAGGTCCTGGGACCTGGCAAAGGTCTGCCTTCCTTCATCAGCGCTTCCCGTCCCCACCCCCAGTTTGAGTTTTCTTGCCTTTCTTCATTCCCCTGGTTGCCTTGATCTTTGGAGGACCGGGCACCATCCGGCGAGCTGGGCTCCAGTTCTTTCCTTGGGAACAGTGAGCTTCAGGAAAGCCCTTGAGTCCATGCCAGCCCTTTTGGAAGAGGCCTTGCCATCAGGAGGACAGCATTGTCTTTTGAGAGGAAACTGTGCCGCCCCAGCTCCTGCCTGGAGCCTGGTGCTTGGGGCATTTTGGTTACTAAGGGGACCCTGGCCTGCTAAGTTAGAAAAAGGGGCCAGGTTTTTCCCTATTCTTAAGCCTGCTGCCATTGTTGAAAAAGTAAACACTCCACACAGCTTAGCCGGCAAGTCCTCCAGCCAGGAGTGGGAAGAAATCAAAAGCCTATTCCAGCCCAGGCGTGGAGAGCCTACAAGGGCTGGTCTGTGTACTGGGCCCCAGTGGGAACGCCGAAACAAGGCCCAATTCTGGTCCAGAATCAACATCCCATTCACGGGGCCTTTCAGGCCTGGAGGCTTCTCTCCAATGGCCATGCCTCCTGCTCCCTTCTGTTTGGGGCTATGTGGAAGGTCAGATGAGGCAAAGTAGGTGATTTTGGGGTACGCAGCCCCCTGCTCTGTCCTAGAGGCATGGCATCCTCCAGGGTGTTGTGAGCCTTTCTCTGATTCTGTTTCCTGTGACTGTGTGCAGGCTTTGAAGTAAGAGACCAAGCAAGAAAGGGCCTCACGGACTTTTGCCCTCAGGCCATTGCCACTACAGCCTTTCAGACTGGCTGTGGCTACTGTGTGTATTATCAAAGTGATAATAATAGCTACTATTTATTACCTCCTACTGCACGACCAGCATTGTGGGTGTGTTTGCTCTCACCATGGCAGCCCTGTAAGAAGTGAGAGAAGTAGGGTGGCCACAGTTACCATTTTAATTTTACAGATGACGTCAATTAGTAGACGCGTAACCCTGGGCCAGCTACTTCTTGGAGCCTCGGTTTCTCATCTCCGAAATGGGGATGATGATATCTCACCTCCAGCCCCATTGATGGAATGAAAGTGTCTGTGTACTAGTGCTGTGTGAGCCTGAAGTGTAACAAAAGCACTGTACAAGACGAACTTGTTTTTTGTATTCTTAGCTTGGTGCAAAAGTAATTAAGGTCTTTGCCATTACTTCGGTAAAAACGGCAATTACTTTTGCACCAACCTAATATGATCAAAATTCCCCATTTGCTGGTATCTTTTTACCTTATAAATAAGGCAGCAAGTAATAACAAGTGTTGGGGTTTGGAGGAAAGAATAAACTCCGACACTGGCAATTGTGTCTGTCCTCTGTGGTTCTCAGCCCTTAGTAAGCACTTAGTAAATATTTAGGAATTGATGGATAGGTTTGTGGATGAGCCGCCAGAGGCCTGGAGAAGTTAGTGGATAGCAGAAGGAATTGGAGGCTCCCGTGGTGTTAAGTGGAAAGGTTCCAGGATTTTGCTGCCTGGGAGTGTTTTTTCAACCCTACAAGGCTTGTGACCAGCATGGCTCCACCCTCCTGCTGGGAAGAATCTTGAAATGTTTACTTAGGTACCAAGTTCTGCCCTAGAGGCTGGGGTTTAAGAGAGTGAACGTCAACCAGTGTTAGTTTGCACTTACCGGGTGCCAGTCATGTTGTCAGGGACTGGTTATTTTGCAGTCATGAGCCAAACAGATGTGCCCCTGAAGGAACTCATACCCCAGCAGGGGAGGCAGGCAGGCAGGCAGAGAGGTGCTGGGGCTCAGAGTGACAAGGGCTGTGCAGAGGTCAGTCTCCCTGCAGGTGTCTGATGATGTGGAGGTGGATGGTACAGTGCAGAGTGTGGCCTGGGGAGGGAGCTGGGCCTGTGGTTGCCTCTGCCTCTTATCTCAGGGCTCTGAACCTCATCTTCCTCGAGGTTCGAACATTGAGGACAGTCACATCCACCTTGCAGGGGCTGATAAGAATTAAATGAAATAAGGTGAGGAAAGCACAGAGCAAAAGCTGGGAAGCTTCTTATTACTTGTCCATTTCCAAGGCACTGGAAAACTGGACCTTGAGCAGCCGTTGGATGTCTGCCTCCATTGCCTGTACCATACTCTGGGGTGCATTAGGAAAAGGCATCTGTCCCGCTTCCCTGACTGGTGCCACTCGGTTGGCAGATTTCAGCCCTAGCTTAGGTGGTTGGCATCTGAGGAGTGCATACCTGCATAGCCACATGCAGCGTGCTCAGAGGTTGACCAGTAATGGAACTGATCTTTTATATGCAGTGACCACAGGCCCCGTCATGTGCCTGTTGCCCTGGTGTAAGCAGAGATCTTTCACATCCACATGTGTCCCAGTTTAGACAGCAAGTGATAGGGTCTTTCTACACAAAATAAAGACAGTAGTTCTAAAGCCTCTGACTCAAAAGGAACATGCTTGATACGTGACGGGGAAGGAGGAGTGAACGGGATGGGGAGTGGCCGGTAGGCAGGAGAATAACAAAGATGGATCTTAGTAGTGTATAAACAGTGTGATTAAAAATTTAAGACTCAGGCTACACCCTGTCTTGGACTCACACAGGCTATAGGGAATTGCTGCCAGATTAGGGGGAGGATTCTTTTCTCCATATTGTCCGTTCATCCCTTCTCCTGTCACCAAGCATGAAAACCTTGTAGGCATGAGTTTCCCTCATCTTTTCTATTACTGTGCCAATAGAATAATGGCTTATGGCCAGAGCTTCTGAGCCATTACTAGCTGGATATCTGTGGAAAATGGAACCAAACTGAAAGTGTGACCTTCCTACTTAGCATTTAACGGAAGTGTTAACAGTAGGCCACACACAATATTCCATACCCAAGAAAGACAGGATCCAAACGAGAGATGAGCAGGTAGCCTTTGGTAAATTAGGAGGCTGGATTGAATGGGGATATCTAAGAACATAGCCATCTATCAGCGTTCCTGGGGACAGAACTTTTGGCCTCAGCATCTGTTAAATATATAGGAGGGAAATGATGATGGAGTGTAATGGTCCCTCTTACTTTCTGACTCTGTGAACCCTTTTCACTCCTGGGACTTGGGATAATCCTGGAAGCCCACAGAGGTTTTATGAGAGTTCAGTGAGCTCACAGATGTGAACTTCCTACCATTAGGTCTGCTGCAGAGTGAGCCTTTGTCAAATGTCACTTTTCTTCTGTATTCCTCTTCCCCAGAGAAGGCAGGGGAAGTGTGTCTTGATGGCACCTCAATGACCTTCTCTTCTGGATGTTTTCTCCTTGCAGAAAGTCAGAAACATGGCCCTGGATGATGTCGTGATCCTGAATGTGGACACCAACACCCTGGAAACCCCCTTTGATGACCTCCAGAGTCTCCCAAATGACGTGGTAGGTTATGAGCTCATGAGGATCTGACTTCTGTGAGCTCCTGCACAGGAAATAAACGTGCCTTTGAGAAATAGGGAAGGAGGGGAGATAGCCAAGGTTTTCCTGTGACCTGGGAACTGCAGTTTGTTTCTCCATTGAAACCTTTGTCTCAGTTAGAAAGTTAGAAGGTGGCC